CAGCTACTGAATCGTCATATCAAATACTGTTGGTCCTTTCCCTCCCGGCTCTCCTTTACATTAAAAAGGAAAGCCATGCTCATTTTCAAGTCTTGAGGAAGGGGAGGGGATCCCCATGGACCTGGGATTGATCTCACAGACCCCTTCCCCTGCCAAATTATCTACATCTCAATCCAGACAGGTCTCCCCCATATGGTCCACAGCCTTCAAGATCAGCCACCAAGAAGGCCCAGTTAACTCCATGAATACCGCAGAGGGGACTGCCACAATTTTCCTGCTACCTCAGGTGGAACCATTGTTGAGGATGTTGCTAGCTGGGGTTCAGAGTACATCCTCCTCCAGTATGCTATTTCCAATAGTTGTAGGGGAGGCATAGTTTTCAAACGGCACTGGAGCTGTTATTGTTATTGCTGCTTAGAAAGATTTTACGGTCTCACAAGTGAGGGGAATCCCTATCAGCTTATGTATGTTTCTAATAGTTGGAAGCTTGGGAAAGCATACTCGGCCTCTCTTCTTGCTGCTCTCCCGATATGTGTTGAAGGTTATGTGCCAAAGCAGAACTGAATGCCACTTACTGCGAACTTGTCTCTAACCGTTTTCTGCAGGCAAACTTGCCTTAGATATTGGGGTGCTGGTCCCCACAACCAGCCTTTGTTTTTGTAATGTGGAAGTTTATTTTGATGACGTTCCCGCGGCCTAATAATTGACAGGCAGCGGGGAAAAACCATTGCTATTTTCCTTAATCCTTCTTTCCATTCCTTCTCTTCCTTAGTTTCTTCTTTATTTCCGTACAAGGACGCGGGGGATCGGAGGACCATTGGGTGGCCCATGGTGGAGTGTGCAGGGACTGCAACAGGTGAGTACAAACTGCAGAACCATGACTAAAATAGCCCCGACAAACTTTAAAATACTCACCCATAACGCCCAAGGCTTTAATTCCCTAAACAAACTCACCTTGGCATTCAACAATACCATAAATTAGGGATACAGGGGACTCATTTCTCTCGGAAATCACACACGTCATTTGAATGCTAAATACCCCACATATTACCTGTCCAATGGTCCAGATAAAAAGAGAGGAGTTGCGATCAGTATTGCTAAACGAGTGCCCTTCACCCCTAGTGTGGTTGTTCGGGATAAGGAGGGTGGATATATTTTAGCAAATGCGAAAATTAATGAGCATGTGGTCATTTTTATTTCATATTTTGCTTCATGGTCAGATCACTCCTTGGTTCAGATGACAATAGCGGATCTCTGGATGAAGGCTCATCCGATAGTGTGGCGACTCAACGTCTCTTTACTCAACGCCTCTTTACTCAAAGACCCCTCAGTATACACGGAGGTGGAAAATCCATCAGTATTTTGCTGAGAATACACCAGATGACACATCGCTCACTATTACATGGGTGGCACATAAGGCGACGATTCGGGGTAAACTTATTCAAATAGCATCTAGGGCAAAACGAAACCGGGAATGGCTTATATGCCAACAGGAAGAAAAACTCAAGGAGCTACTCAAGAGAGCAAAAAAAAAAAAAAACAAACCCTCAAGTAGACATTAGACATAAAACAGACACGGTGATAAAACATCCCTTAATCTTAGCTTAACTGCGAAAGCCGAAAAATATATCCGCTGGTCAACACATCGCTTTTATACATTTGGAGATAAGACCCATACTCTGCTTGCGCGGAAGCTTACTCCCCGCCTTTACTGAAACTGCGCCTGAGTAACAGACATATATCTCTGAATCCTCAATTGGTGGTGCGTGAATTTTTTAACTTCTATTCTAAACTTTATTCTCAACCGGAACCAATTCAGCCACCCAGCATTGATACTTTTTTCAAAATCTCCCCTTACCGAGTATCATTCCAGGTCATATAATGGGAATTTCGAGCTGAGGAAGTTGCAGAGGCAATAAAAAGCCTGAATTCCTCCAAGGCACCAGGATCAGATGGATTTTGGGGCCATTATTATAAGAAATATTCTGAGGCCTTATGTTCTTTCTTCAATAACATTCGCCGGGGTACCCCCGGTATTCTGAGGCATTATGTTCTTTCTTCAATGGCATTTACAGGGGTACCCCACTTCCACGCTTTGAAAATAATGCATTCATACATGTTATACCTAAACCGGGCAAGGATCATGGTGACTGTGCAAAATACCGCCCAATCTCCCTTATTAATGTAGACCTTAAGATTATGACCAAGATATTGACATGTAGATTGAATTCCTTTCTGGCAGGTTATATCCATCCGGACCAAATGGGATTTGTTCCCAATAGACAAACACCTGATCAAACAAGGCAACCGATTGATATTATTTCCACACTCAAATCTAATTGGGACGGACGGCAGAGTGACACGGAAAGCTATGCTCTTATCTCTTGACCTTCATTAGGCATTTGATTCCCTGACCTAGGAATATCTATTCTACCCTTTGGATCGCTATGGGTTTGGCAAGAATTTTCTCACAATACTCCATACATTACATAGTGGACCAATAGCCAGATTGTCGGTCAAGGGATATGGGTCAGATTACCTCTTCATACACAGAGGCACTCGACAGGGCTTCCCACTATCCACCATTTTATTTTTCTTGGCTTTGGAGCCTCTGGTCATTGAAATTAGAAATAACCCGGATGTTTTGGGCATCCCGTGTGGTGACAGGGAACATAAGTGCACTCTATTTGCGGATGATCTTTTAATGCTCTTAACATTCCCGGCCACGTCTATACCTAACCTGTATAGTGACCTATCATATTTTTCAGCGATCTCTGGCCTTAGTGTCAACCATAATAATTCCCTTGCCTCAACTTAACTCTGGATGACTCCACAGTTCATTCTTTACAACAAAGCTTCTCTTTTAAAATGGCAAGCGGACACGCTTCCTTATCTAGGAATCTAACCTCTTCCGTGGACACCCTGTATCAAAAATTATCCTCCCCTATATAAAAAACTGCAGGATGATCTTTCCAAATGGGCCATCCATCCCCCATCATGGTTCGGTAGGTTGCACTCAATAAAAATGAATACTTTGCCTAAAATTCTGTACTTGTTTCGTACTTTGTCGATAATGATAAACATGTCTGACTTACGTATTTTCCAATATAAGGTGTTAAAATTCATATGGGGAAATAAGAGACCCAGGGTGAATAGACGTACACTTTTTGCTTCGAGATTGATGGGAGGGTTGGGGGCCCCAGACCTATCTCTAAATATTTTATGCCGCCGAATTGGTCCCATTGATACACTATCATTCTAAACATGTCCGCCCCCTGTGAATGCATTTAGAATTGTCCCATATCCCTAATATCCCGATCAGCCATACGATGTGGCTGAAAGCCAGGGATAGACCCGCAATTTTGTGTCCCATGCTATCGTTTTCCCTTTCCTTATGGGACAGATTGGCGAATAAGCAATGCTTTAAATCCCCACACTCCCCTAGATCCTTTATTGGGCAATTCGGCATTTCCCCGGGACTCAGCCCCTCTGCTTTTGACTGGTGGACAAATAAAGGTTTTCTTCGGTTTGCAGATTTTTGCAACCATAGAGGCCCCATACCTAGGATAGTATTTCAGGAGCAACATCACCTCCCCACTTAGAAACTTTATCGCTTCTCACAAATAAGCCACTTTCCTCATACCTTAGACGCACCAGTAACTTGTCCTCATTGACTCCAATGGAACATTTCTGGAGAACTCTAGATAAACACAATGGTCATATATCCATGATAAATGCTATCTTACAAATGGATTCCTCCAAGTTACCCTACATGGAACTCTGGGAACAAGCCCTGGGGGACGTATTAGAGGTGACGGAGTGGAATAAACTGGTGCAGCTCAATTCCCTATATGTGATAAAAAAAAAAAAAAAAAAAAAGTTACACCAAAAAGGACATATCCAAAAAAAAAAAAAAATGAGGTTCCCCTCCCACATATAAGCAAGTACGAAAGTAAACGCACACATTGGGGCGCCTACACGTGAAAATGCCTATTGTGAGAAATGTTACATATTGCCGTGAGCGCCAGAGTGAGAGCAAGAATTCTAGCACCAGACCTCCTCCGTAACGCTAAACTGATGACCTATAAGGCCTGTTGAAGCGTCGTCTATAGAAAATGTAGCGTACTGAAGTTTGTCGCCATTTCATAGATGCACGCAAAATTTAAGGTTTGGCACGTTGGGTATCTATTTACTCGGCACAACCTTGCCTTTTATATTTTACCAAAATTTGGGTAATTTATTGTGTTAGTTTGCCCTACAATTCACTTTAGTGTAATTTTTACTGAAATTTTGCATTTCCTAGACCTTTGCAATAATATTGCATGACCTAAAAAAATTGGAACTACCACTAATGTCGTGCCATTGACTTCAATGCAAAATCGTGTGCCATTGACTTCAATGCAAAATCACCCTTTTTGAATTCAATGCAGAAATGCTTCCCATTCACTTTAATGCAAAAGCGCCTCCCACTGACTTCAAAGCAAACACTCCTGTCAATAGCAATCTCATGCGAATACTTACCTCCATATGCCACTATACGCCATATGTGATTGTCGTGCGATTCATCGCGTGAAGCTGGTTGCCCAAAAGTTGCCTTGCGCCAACAACTATATAATAGTATTTATTGAAAGAGCAGTGAATTCTTATATGTTGCAGAAATCTGCAGAAGTCTTTACAGATTTTTAAAGGGATTTAATTACATTTTTTTTTTCACAGAAACTGCTACAGTGGCACTACTAGACACTTACCCACTGCTCACCTATCTTTACCTCCTATCACTAGGGATTTCATTTCAAGAGTGAAGGTCAGATAAAAAAAAAAAAAAATGTTTTTTTTTTTCCTTAATTCAAAATTGAATTTGCCTGCTCGTCAGCCTAAAACTGCCCTGTATACTATCCAGGCAAAACAAATATTTTCTTAAACTGTTTATACCCCAGCAACCTCAAAAAAAAAAAAAAAAAAAGGTTTATGAATTGGAAAAAAACAAACAAATAATGTACCTGAGCTGTGTAGAGACACTGCCGTCACTCTAGCATGGATCACATTGGCCTTCGTCAGCTTTAGCAAACCTGAGCATATCAACTTATTACCTCCTTCCACTGCCCACATATTTCCCTGGGCTCCTGCCAAAGACATGGCTCCTAAGGAAAGCACACAAGAACACAGCAGAACAATTATTTACAGATACGTTAGTTGCTTGTAATCATATAACAGTTATGTTAAATCTGAAACAGTCAAACCAAAAACAGCCCTCAAGGAATGATAAAACATAAGGTTTATTACACATATCAGATGAATTTACCCCATGTATATTATGAATGTTTGCAGCATTTTTAATGTTGAAGTCAATTGATTAGTGTATCAGTTTTCTTTAGTTTAGGCCTACATTCACACATATGTGGGTCCAGGACTGTGTGGAAATTGCACACATTTCTGCATCTACAGCCAAAATAGACTGCCCTTTAGCAGATGCATGAGGTTGCCATTAATTCTTAATGTCACTCCCACACATCTGAAAATGCAGCATGTTTTTGGGTACGTGATACTGCATGGTGACATAGCCCTATGCATTGCCATGCAGCTGCAATTACAAAGAGGGTTGGGGACTTTTGCTCAAGATTTCAAGTATATTCATATGAATGTGCTGGTATGCCCCCACGCAAACGCACCTGCACAGAGACGCAAATATGTGAGCCTAGCCTAAATGGATCTAAAGCCAAAATGTTTTTGTTTGCTTTGGATGCAGTAAGAACGTAGGATATGGAATTTATCCATCCTGCTTGGGGAAAATTACCTATTTTTGGCCTGGTCTTCATTGTAGAGCTGGCCATACATTAGTAAATTTCAAACATTTGTACCAAGAAATTCTCATGAGTACATTCAAAGGGCCTGATGAATGCCAGTGAAAAGTACATAAAAACATTTGGTTTTGAAGTGCATGAAATTAAAACCATAGTCATTGTCAGAAATTCAATTGCTTGTGAAAAATTTTCCATCCTACTCGAAGTTTTGCGTCAGAGGTTGGAAACAAGCATGGATTAGAAAATTTAACAAATGTTTCTAAAATGAAAATTTTCAAATGAAATTCTACTAGTGTTTGGCTTGAGACAGGAAGTGAAAGGAAATCCATCTAATGCTGGCCATAGACGGGTCGAAAATCGGCCGATAACAAAAAAAATCGGCCGATTTTCGCACCGTTACTGGGTTAATTGGTCGGCCGTTTTTTCGCACATTTTTTTTTATCGGTCATGTTGGAAAATTTCCCAGCAATGCTGGGGAAGAAGAAGAGAAGGAAGGAAGGAAGGAGGAAGAAGAGGAGGAAGAAAGGAAGAAGGAGGAAGAAGAAGAGGAGGAAGAAGGAGGAAGTAGAAGGGAGAAGGAGAAGGAAGAAGTTGAGGGTTGCAAGAAAATGTATCCAAATAAAAACATTGTAATTCAAATAATGTATTTGTATTGCTGTCTCGTGGTATGGTGTGCTCCCGTCTTTGCAAGGGACAGAAGTTATGGGGTTAATGCCGGCCATAGACGGGTCGAAAATCGGCGGATTTTTTTAACATTGGTGGTAATGTCGGCCGATCAAACGACTGATTTTTTATTTATTTTTTTAAATCGGCCAATGTTCGACCCATCTATGGCCTGCTTTACACAGCGAATTCAGCCTTTCCATGTTCTATCCAAGACAAAAAAATAAATGGCTTTAGATACCAATTCTGTTTTTTATTGCAAAGGCAAAATGTAAAGTTTATGTTAAGCCAAATATTTTTGGCTTCATATACACTTTAAAGCAGAGGATAAAGGCAAGCAAAACAAATATAGACTCAGAAAAAAAATAATTTATGTAAAAAAAAAAAAAAAAACAAACAAAAAAAAAAAAAAATCACAAGCAAACATTACTTGTTTTCCTATCTAAACATTTTCATGAGAAAATGATCAAGATATAAAGTAGTAAAAGTAGTTATAGTAGCAAACTGACCCTTAGGTTAATTCAGCTTAAACATATGGAAACAGGAAAAAAAGTAATTACAGGTCTTACCCCAAAGCTATCACATACTCATCAGTAATGTACAGGTAAGACCTAACATATCCTAAACAAATTACTTAGTGACATCTCAAGAGCAAGGTCTTTGTAATGCAGGTCAAACGTTAGGCTAATGACTGCAGGCAGTTTGTTTTAGATTACTGGATGTCTATGGACATGCCCTACTTTGAAAACCAGGCAAGTTTTTTGCCAAGTATATATCTTTTGTCAGTATGCTCAACATGCAATAGGTAGAGTTAATACCTTAAAAATGGCTGTACAACCATATGCACTCTGAGTCACAGGGAACTACTTATGATGAGGCTGCTAAATGAAGTATATAACTACTTGCTTTATCAGATCAGTGGACCAGAAAAATCATGAAGTGGCTTTTAAATGGCAAGATCAAAAGTGAAATAGATTATAAATACAACTTTCAATCCCCTAAACTGGCCATACATGTAAAAATAATCAATTAATAATAATAATAATAAAGAGATTCCATTTTTCTGCCAAAAACAACTGAGTACTGTCCATGATTTTTTATTTGCACAAACATAAAAATTTTCAGGACAAGGTCCAATCCTTTTCAATGAAAATCTATTTAGTTCAATCAACTACTGGTATGGACATTTCTTTCATTGTATGTAAACCCTAACAATGAGCTTCCCTTATCTGGTCCCTTTTGGTATGTTAAATATACAACTGAAAGCTTGTTAGATCTGTTAAGGTCAAAAAAAGTACTTGCTGATCCTGCCGGAATTCGAGTCAGCTAATAAACTTTATGTTTTCTCTGTGTGTGCTGCACTGTTATGAATCACATTGGTTCAAGTTTTCGCTAAAGACTACAGAACATCACCATTCTACTCTATGGAGAGAATGAGAAGTGATGGTGTTTGTATTCCTATCCTATTTCTTTTTTTACTGATATAGCAGATAAGCAAGTGTTGTCACCCTAGGACAGCAAGTGTGTTACTGGCAAAATCTGCAGGTGAAAAAAGCCTGCAAAAAAAAAAATAATAATAATAATAATAATGAATGCAGCCAACACATTGAAGTACTGGTAAGCTGCAATATATTACATTTTTGTTCTTGAGTTTATATATACTTAAATCATTATACAAAGGATTGCATCATTGCTTTTATTGACAGCTTTGCAGATGAAGACATTGATTGTAATTTTTTTTATCATTTTTTTTTAAAAACAAACATGTCATACTTGCCTGCTCTGCGCAATGGTTCACCTTTTGCACCATGTCATATGTTACAGCATACGTATTTAGGGTGAAACATGTAGCCTGGTGCAACTGTCACCTTCCCCCACCACCCCACAGCATGCAGGGGTTCTTCTCCCCTGCAGATGCTGTCAATTTTAAATTTTGCGTGGCCGTGTGGAGATCTGTAACTGCAAGTCCTGTCTGACAAAGTAGCAATCAGATTAGTAGTTTGCAACAGGCTTCAAGTCCAGTAATTAGCACACTAGTAGTCCATTGACACTTCTTTCAGCTCTGCAGAGAGCTGGAGGAAGTGTTTGCAGGAGCCAGGCACTGCATCCATCATCCACTAATTGCAGGTGCAATACTTTGCAGGCTTCTGTAAAAATAAATAAAATGTTAATCTTTTTTCCTGAAAAAATATGCATTTAATTTTTTTTTTGTTTTTAAGGTGTACTTAGCTCTTAAGCCAGTAGATGATGCTGTGATTTATATAGAACATAAACTTACATAGCCCCAGAAACAAGCCATGATCCATATACTGGCTACTCAATATTATTGGCTTTGTCATTTGCATTTTCAGGACTTTGGATTATCTTAACAAGTCCAAAAAAAAATGTTACTACAATATATTTGCACATATTTATACCGTAGCTTTGCAGTGTATACTGCACTTTTGCACTAATGTTGAGCTTTGGAATAAGGAGCACCTATGACACTTTCTTGCAATATATGCAGAGCTATCTCTGCTTACACGATTGTTGACAGCCTGTGTATAACTGACTAGGTCAATATAGTGACAAAGTCTTCAATGCAAGACTCACCTACTAAAGCTGGAATGGACACTGACTGTCCATAGCTGGCTTTCATCACAGCACTGATCACGTCATCTATGAAACGTTGCGACACTCCAATTCCCTGCAATGATTCCGCAACTGACTTCTGGGTCATATTCACAAAATGGTCCCCTCCAAGTGAACGCAGCAATCCCTCAATGCTTGAAAACGCATACTCATGAGCTTGGTACTTATACACCCTAAAGAAAGCATGTCAAATGTTAAGTTGAACAATATAAAAAATAAAAATATTACATGATCTCTCTTTATCATACATCACGCGGCACAGGGTAGACTATAATCATTACTATCTGAGTTATGAGTCACATATACAGTAGGTGAATGGACACCGGCATACTAAACAGTAAGCCCCTTCTATATAAACCCCCTCCCATACAGGAAGTACCTCAGTTTTTTACCAGTGTCTGAAGACGATGGTGACGGTAAAGTGGAGCTAAAGTCACACTGTAAAAAAATAAAAGTCAGCAGCTACAAAAACTGCACCTGCTGACTTTTAAAAAACAGCCACTCACCTGTCCCTCAATTCTGCGGTGTCCTCCCTGCAGCCAGTTTCACCAGCTGTCCAGTGTTCCCGGCACCAGCATCTTCAGTGTGGGCACCCAGCTGTGACAGCTTGCGGCTTCATAGCTGGGTGCCCACTGCGTGAGACCTGTCACGTGTCCCAGAAAACTACGGGGAGGACAACTTCCACTTTCGCTCGCCTAGTTGATTGCAGCGAAAGTGGGAGCGGGTACCTGTCAATTTCGGGTACCCACTCCCCTCCCAACTCCTTAATGGGAAGCAGGGGGACCAGTCTTTAAAAACGGGAACTTCCCCTTTTGGGTGGAGCTCTGCTTTAAGCTCTCTGTGTGAACTCTGCTGGTCCCAAAATGGATCTTAGGAATCAAGGGGGCTGATTAATCGGCTCCATTTTGATGGCTGACTCCTAAGATGAATGGTACCCGAGCCTCGTGTGGAAGGAGTCAACGAGGTTTTGTCTGTAATGCAACCTTTTTTGGCGTTGGACACTGTGTTAAAGAACCCTGTGGATGCTCTAATGACCAAGGCATTTCTGGCAGAGTGCTGTACGGGTCCAAGGGAGTGGACCTCATGAGTTAAGGGGGCCCCAGTCCTTGAAGGTCCTTAAGTGACATGGCCTGTGATGGCAAAAGAAGGAGAGATTTTAAAGTACATTCTTTGAGGGGCAGTCTCAATGTTGTCGGCAATATATGAGTACTACAAGCACTAATTTTTGCTATACAGTACAGCAGTAATACTTACGAGAAGCCAGTTAACCAGCACAGCCTCTGTGCCTTGCTTTATATGACCACTAGGGGCATCGGGTGTCTAAACCTGCTCTGTGTACTTTATGACCGGCATGTGCCATATGGTATGTGCGTGCTGATATTGAGAAGATGGATGAGAAGATTGATCCCTGGGGTAGTCTTCCTGGATTAGTAGGCATTGCTCGATGGAGCACAAGGTGCAGAAGCGTCCTGAAGCTGCAGGCAACCATGTTACTACGGGAAGAAGTGCTCTCCATGTGGATCTCCAGTTTTGCAAGGGACACAGAGCAGAGTCCTTTGGGTATTGTTCAGCTACAGGTGGCCAATGTATACTGAGTCTTGGATTAAGTGTTGCATCGTGCTGTTTAGGCTGTGATAGCTGCTGATTGCTAAATTACAGATTGCATCGTGGGATGCTAAGCTGGAAGGTTGAGTTTTGATCACAAGCCCCAGCTGAATTTCAGTGCACTTTGAGTAGGTAATGTCTTCCAGATAGCGGAGTGGGTGAGCATGATTCTGAAGCCTCCTACTCCTCTCTGGGTTCACCACAGAATGCTCAAGCCTTTCTGCTGACTGGGATCATCTGGATAGAATCTTTGTCCCTCCCAAGAGCTTTTCCATCTTGTATGCTATGGAAGAGAGACTTGTTAAAAATGGAGCATGCCAGCGGTTGACGGTGCTGTCTCCTTGAATAGGAATTTAACATGTCCAGTAGACAGTGCCCAGGTGTTTAAAGACCCAGCGGATACGAACATGGAGTCATTACTAAAAGCTGCTTTGAAAACCTCTTGGGAGGGACAAAGATTCTGTCCAGATGATCCCTGTCAGCATAAATGCCCTCTTCTAAGATAGGGTGGAAAGGAAAGGCTTGAGCTTTCTGTGGTGGTCTGCGGTGAACTGACAACTGGCTGGTTCTGCGACACAATCTGATATAGGGCAATTGGCCTTTGTCAGTGCTTGCAGGACCATGTAAAACGGTTAGTCAGGAATTTTCCTGGTCAGGAAGAGGTTGTGGCTGAGCAGGTGGTAGATTTACCTCGCGCCTTGTGCTTTGCAGTGGATGCCCTGAAATACTCAAAGTCAGCAGGTTTCATTTTTTGGCTGTGCTATCAGTGCACATGCGCAGAATCTTATGGCTAAAAAGTTGATCAGCTGAATTGCCTTGCAAGAAACTGCTGGCTGGATTCCCTTTTCATGGGGAACATCTGTTTGGCAAGGATTTGGATAGGCATATCTAGGCATCCACTGCAAAGCACAAGGCGTTGGGTAAATCTGCCACCTGCTCAGCCACAACCTCTTCCTGACCAGGAAAATTCCTGACTAACCATTTTACACAGTCCAGTTAAAGGAGAAGAGCCCATCTTTCAAACTAACCGGTACCTCTGTTGCTAGTTTTTCATCTTCCAGGCAGTTTCGGCAGCCACAGACATCTGCGTCCGGAGGCAAACCTCAGGGAAAAGGGCAGAAAAAGCCCTGGAGTCAGAAGCCTGGTAAGACAGGCTCTAAGCCATCCATATGAAGAGGCACCCCCAAACTTGTGTGGGTGGGGGGAGGCTTCTGCATTTTTCAATGTCTGGAAGGAGGTGATCCAGGACAAGTGGGTGATTTCCACCATTTTTCAGGGGTACAGACTAAAATTTCGAGTTGTTTCCTCCTTCTCGCTTTCTGAGGTCGAATATTCCTTTAGATCAGCTGAAGAAAAGTTCATTGTTTCAAGCCCTCGATCACCTGTTAACCCAAGGAAGTGCCGTCTTGAAAGAGGTTCACAGGTTCTACTTAAACCTATTCATGGTTCCAAAACCAAAGGGGGATGTCAGGCCTAGCCTAGATCTCAAGGCCTAAACTGGTGTCTAGTCGTCCACTCTTTTTGGATGGAATCAGGCCATTTGATGGTGGCCTTGTTGCAGGTGGGAGATTTTCTTGCATCCATAGAGATCAGGGACACATACCTGCGTGTGCCAATTTTTCAACCTCAGGAGGCTTCTACAGTTTGCAACAGAAGACCGTCATTTTCATTTTGGCTCTGCCATTCAAGCTTACCACGGCTCCTCGTGTAGTAACAAAATCTCTTTCTCCAGTATTGGGCCTACTAAGATATCAGGGAATATTGGTGTTTGGATATCTAGACGATCTGTTGTTATTCAGGGAACAGTCTATTCCAGGCTTAAAGCCCCACTCATGATGAGAATATCAGACAAATGAATGATAGTCCTTTTTTTTTTTGCATGCTAGTCTCATATCAAAAATGAAGAGGTTACTCAAGTTACGAAAATTCTTGTACGACAGAATAAAAATTCTGAAGTGATGTAATGTATTGTATTTTTGGATGGAAACTGTATTGATTAAATGAAAATCGCATGAACTGATATAGTAAAAGAAAACATTTTGTTCTTGTCCCTTCTAATAATTTCGGATGAAAGCTGTGTACCAACGATCAGATTATCATATGATTGCTTTCAAAGTGGTAAGATTTTCTGATCATGTGTACTAGGCTTAAAAGGCACTATGGGTCTTGGAACATCTAGGCTGGGTTCTAAATGTCAAAAAGTCGGCCTTAGAACCTGTTCAGAGCCTAGAGTATTTAGGTCTGACCCTAGATACTGTTCAGGCAAAGGTGTTCCTGCCTCCGGGGACAAGTTTTGCACTAAGGAATCTGGTTCGAGATGTAGGGAGAAAAAGTTGTCCCTCTAAATGCCTCTGCATGAGATTGCTGGGGAAAATGGCATCTTCATTCGAGGCGGTTCCCTATGCACAGTTCCATTCCAGGCCCTTACAGAGGAGCATTCTGTCTCTCTGGAACAAGAAGGTCCAGGCATTGGATTGTCGCATGTTCTTTTTCCCAAGGGTACGACAGAGTCTGAATTGGTGGTTAAGGATTTAGAATTTGGAGAGGGGAAAGTCCTTTCTGCCGGTGGTTTGAAAGATAGTAACCATGGATGCCAGCCTCTTGGGCTAGGGGGCTGTTTTGGAGGGAGCCACTATGCAGGGGAAGTGGTCCCAGCTAGAAAACACCAATCAATATCTTGGAGCTTCGGGCAGTACATCTTGCTCTAACGTTTTGGATAAACAGGTGGCACAGTCACCCCATCAGGATTCAGTCCAACAATGTCACAACTGTGGCTTATATCAACCACCAATGGGGCACCAAGAGCTGTGCAGCCCAGGAGGGGAACCACCCTGGGAAGAACTTAATGTACCTTTTCTGGCAGCAATTTATTTTGGGTATAGAGAACTGGCAGGCGGATTTCCTAAGTTGCTAGAGGTTAATCCAGGGGGAGTGTTCGCTGCACCCCAATGTTTTTTCGGCAATTTGCTGGCGTTAGGGCAATTTGAACGTAGATCTATCAGCATCCTTGTTCATGTGGATGCTCTGGTGACTCCTTGGGACCAGTTCTCCTTGATCTACGCTTTTCATCTGGTTCAACTTCTGCCTCGTCTCTTCTGCTGGATCCGAGAGGAGGGAATACCAATTTTATTGGTAGCCCCTGCTTGATCCAGGAGATCGTAGTATGCGGACATAGTAAGATTGGATGTAGATGGTCCATGGGCTTTTCTGACCCAGCTGGACCTACTGTCCCAAGGTTCAATATCTCACCCGGCTTTACAGTGGCTGTTGAAGCCCGGATCTTGAAGGATCAGGGAGTCTCAGGACCAGTTATTGCTATTCTCCTGAATGCTAGGAAGCCATTTCTAAAAATATCTACTATAGAGTGTGGAAGGCTTACATTTCATGCTCTGAGGCCAGGAGATGGCATCCTCGGAAATATGTCACTGGGAGAATTATCTCTTTTCTCCAGTCTGGTGTGGAGAATAAGTTGGCCTTAGGCACTAATAAGGGTCAGATTTCTGCTTTGTCTGAATTTTTCCAGAGGCCTGTTGCTTCGCATGCTATGATTCGGGCCTTTTTCAAGGGGTGGTTCTTATGGCTCCTCCTGTCAAAATACCCATGTGCCCTTGGAACCTGAATTTAGAGTTCAGTGTCTTGCAGAAGCAACCGTTTTTAAACCTATTTGTGATATCCTGCTGGTTCTTTTGACTCGGAAAGTTTTTTTTTTTTGTCACAGTAACTTTCACAAGAAGGGTGTTGGAGCTGGCGGCTCTCTCTTGTAAGGAGCCATTTTTACTTGTACACCAGGATAAGGTGGTGTTGCGCCCTCATCCATCTTTCTTGCTTAAAGTGGTTTCTAACTTTAATTTGATTTAGGACATTGTCCTACCCTCCTTTTTTCCTGAATCCTCAGTTTGCAGCAGAGAAATTGCTGCATTCTTTGGATGTAGTACAACCCAGCAGGAGCTATCTGAAAATGTCAGCACAGATCACAAGATCTGAATCCTTATTTGTGTTGTCAGAAGGGCTCAGGAAAGAGCAAGTGGCATCTAAAGCAACTATTTCTCATTGAATCCGTCAGTCAATATTTCAAGCCTGTGGTTTGAAGGGTAAATATCCACCCTTTCAAGTTAGGCGCACTCTACCAGAATTGTGGGGGCTTCTTGGGCGATTCCATCATCAGGGGTCAGAGGCTCAGATTTGCAAAGCTACAACTTGGTCTTCTCTACATACATTCACAATGTTGTACCAGGTGGATGTTAGGACTGCAGAGGATACAGCATTTGGTCGCAGTGTAGGTCCTTGTCTGATGGAAATTTCTGTGTGTCTCCCTCCCCTCAAGTATATTGCTTTGGGACATCCTAGATAGTAATGTGTCTCGTAATGTACGAGAAAGAAAATTGGATTTTTTTTCTACATACTTACCTGTAAAATCCATTTCTGGGAGTACATCACGGAACACCTAGGTCCCGCCCCTCTTTCTGGGATTTAATTGCTTGCTACAAAACTGAGGTACTTCCTGTATGGGAGGGGTTATATAGAGCGGGACTTCCTGTTTGGGCTGCCAGTGTCCATTCACCTATAGGTGGCGCATAACCCATATAGTAATGATTATAGCCTATTATGTATTCCTTGATGGATTTTACAGTTAATCTATTTTTTCATCACATCAAAACATTTGCTCTGGAAGGAGTCCCAGACTGGTTGCCAGTCAGTCAAGAAACACATTGTTTCCATCCATTTGTTCATTGATAAGAGCAGCTTCAGCAGGCAAAACACATGTACTTTCAGAGGACAGGAGTGCACTAGCATGCCAATCAAAGGAAATTTGCTAGTGTATCAGTGTATCTTGTGATGGAATATCTCTGCTGAATGAATACTTGTTCCCTGCTAGTTTCCCCCCTTTTTCTGGAGCTCTACAACAAGCTTCTGTCTGTGAAATTGTAATTATTCCTTAAATTCAATAAAAATGTTTGTGACAAAAAAAAAAAAAAAAAAAAAGGGAATAAGTTAAGATATTCGTTTATACAAGGTTTTGACTTTTAACTGTAGTTTTGGCTACTGCACTTCTCAAACTGTTCGTGATTTTAAAGGAGACCTGTACATACAAGATACAAAGGTTGCAAGTGCTGAACTGCTCCTCTAAAAATGGTTTTTGCCTAACTGTCATTGCTGGTCTAGTAGCTTCATTTTTATCTTTCAGTAACTTTAAGTTAGCATGAGGATATTCCTTACAGTATCACTAAACCCACATCATTAAAAACTATCAATAAATGTTGTATTATATACTGATCATAAGCACTATGGGATTCGTTTTCTGTATTCTGCAAAAAAAACTGGTTGATCCTGCTAATCTCTAATCCCCCCCCCCCCCCCCCCCCCCCCTGTCCATGTCCCCACTGCAGTTGAGGATTTTGCAGAGCAGTGTTGGCAACTAGTATACATGCTCAATTTTCAGCGCATTGCTACCCTGTGCATTTCCTCCCTATTGCATCTGAGCAGCCCATGTGACTATAGAGTCACACATATGGACGTATACACAGTGGTAAATGACAGCCCGCTCCCTCCCTCCTCAATGGATGGGATATTACATCTTGATTAATGGAGGCTTCACCTCCCTGTTATTCTAAGACACAGGCAAGAGGGGAGTGACACAGCCTGTGACTAGCAGAAATGCACCCACACCATGTTATTGCCAAAAATAATTACATTTCAAATACATATTTGTATGACACTTTAAAACAGTTTACTGATAATAATTATTTAATTTTACTCTGTATCCCAAAGGCTGTCTTTTTTTTAACATGTGACCAGTAGCAGAGGCTCCTCCTGCCACTGTTTCCCTGCAGACAGGCTAGGAAAGAGCTGGGTCATGTGACAGCTGTATATTGATTAGTAGAAAAGGTGCCGGTATTTACAGTGCCAACATCTACATACAGAAAGAGAAGGGATCGTGTAAATGAAATGGTGTGTGTTTAGGATACTTTTTAAATTTTGCAATATGCAGCAACAGTATCTTTTTTTTTTTTCCAGAAATGCTTCACCTTTCTTGCATTAAACAGTATAAATGACTTTGCCTAGCCTGTGATAACAGCATTTCCCTAGTCTCTTCTCCCCCACTGATCACTCAGAGCCAAAACCAGAACAGACACCATGAGCTACATGATTTTGTCATCTCTGAGCCCGTATCTCAGCCCAGTAAGATGATGTTGACTGACAAACAAAGATGTCTCTGTACTTGTTGAAAGAAAGCAAATGAAGGTATTGTCAAGGGTAGTACTGTGATCTCTGTGAGAGATAACATATGGTACATGGGACACTTTCATGGTACCTGAGCCTAAAGTGATTGCAAAGTTTATTTTTTAGCCACTTCAAGTCCAAGTCGGACACTTTCACCCCCTTCCTGTCCAGGCCAATTTTCAGCTTTCAGTGCTATCACATATTGAATGACAATTGCGTGGTCATGCAACACTGTACCCATATGAATTTTTTTAGCATTTTTTGAGACAGATATAACTTTATTTTGGTGGTATATATTCACCACTGGGATTTTTATTTTTTTGCTATATAAATGAAAAAGTCCAAATATTTTGAAAAAAAAGTGTTTTTCTTATAAAATTTTGCAAATAATTCTTTCTTCATAAATCTTGGCCAAAATTTATTCAGCTATCTCTTTAGTAAAAAAAAAAAAATAACCCAAATTTAGTTTTATAATTTTAAAAAAATTGTTTTACATTTTTATTTTTTTTAATATTATTTATAACATACTGTCACCCTAGCAGTACAGTGACACTGTACTACTTGTGGGGGGTGATGAAGATTTTCTTTTTTTGGTCACAGCTTGTCACATGGTACAAGGCTGTTGTGAATAGACTTGTACCATGTGACCTCTGATCATTCACAGATTTCACACGTAGTAAGCAATGATGTCAGAAGTGACATCTTGCTTACTACTATTCATGTGATCACTGATTTGCCAAACAGTGATCACATGATCGGGACCTCACACAGAGGTTCCGTACAGCGATCGGTGTTCGCGCACTCCCGGGGGGGGGGGGGGGGGAGCGCACAGGCAGGGAAGCGGGAGGACGTTTATAAATGGCCACCCGCTCCTGCACTGCTCCCGCGCGGCCATTTATGTACTTGGGCAGGACCGGAAGTGGTTAAACAACGAACATGTATTACTTACCTGCTCTGTGCAATATAATTATAGACTGGCCCTGATGCTCCTCTTCTGGGGTCCACTGCAGCCTCTCCTGCCTCTTCTTCTTTTCGAGTGCCTCCATTGAAGCGGCTTCCTATTGTGGCACACCCATAGGCTCAACCCCGTGCTGCGCTGCCTATGTCCATAGACACAAACAGCGCAGCTTGGTCCCACCCCCCGCTCCTTCTTCACAGGACTGACTGACAGCAGAGGGAGCCGATGGCTCCAGCTGCCTCAGCAAAGCCTGTGTGACCGGGGATAGCCATTATAGATGGGCAAAGCACTGGATTGAGTGAGTATTAAGGAAAGTATAAGACTGGGTACACATGGGCCGAATATCAGCCAGTATTGCTCGGTACACAGAGACAGCAGACATTCGTTTAACGTGTACAGCTGTCTTTCTGACAAAAGACAAGCTTTTGTTGAAGGAATATGTTGGAAAAGAAGCCAGTGTGTTCTGGCAGGGAGCAGTCCTCCTGCCAGAACACAAAGGGAAAAAACGGAGGATATTGCGGCCCACTACCATCGTTTTTTGTTTTTAATACAGTGATGTCACTTTTTTTTTTGTTCAGTCCTCTGGGTTGCAAAAAAAACACTTTACATGTGTATGAGGCTTAAAGTGATTCGAAAGGTTGTCATTTTTTTTTTTTAACAAACATGTCATACTTACCTGCTCTGTGCAGTTGTTTTGCACAGAGCAGCCCTGATCCTCTTCTTTTTGGGTTCCCCGCCAGCAGTCCTGGCTTCAGGATGCAAAGAATGCATTAAGGTTAAAAATTTTCTGCATTTACTTGAAAAAACAAAACACCACATTTTAGCCTTTAGAACCACTTTAGCATGAAAATATATTAACTGTTAACACCTTCTTAGGCACTGGTCTTGAACAAGTAAGCAGGTCAGAAGTTCTAACTTCACCCTAATCTATGCATTTTCAGTACCTAAAATATTGATGCCAGAGGTAGCCAGAAAACTACCCTTTGAAATAAAGGCAGCAGTGACAGTCCCTGTGTTTCTCCCAGTACAGGGTTCCTGCACAGATAAAAACATGAAATTTCACAGATAACAAACCTCATGAATTTTTCCATGACTTCTTCTACCCACATCTGAAGTCTCAAAAAACTGATCCCATAATGCCACCAAAGTCGGAAAAGATTAAGAAGATACCAGTCTGTTTCCTCTAGAACCAGATTCTCTCCATTGAATATAGCGCTCTTTCCAGCCACCTCTCGGCGATGTTTCAGCCCTGCAATAAGGAGCCATGAGAGAATAAAAATCCAGAATATGACCTGAATTGTTAATACAAATTATTAGATTTCTTATATTATATTTCTGTGCACTTTATATTGTTTAGATCTAAGTCTGTCCCAGTTTGGTATATACCAGTGGTCGGCAAGCCACGGCTCGCGAGCCACATGCGGCTCTTTACATGCTTTAATGCGGCTCTTGTGTGCCGGGCGCCCGCTCCCCTCCCTCCTCTCGGGCGGCAGGGACTCTGCAGCGTGATCCAAAAAAAAAAACAGCCAGGGCAGCACGCTCAAATGCAATGATTGGCCAGTCTCGCTGCCACTCCCATCCTGATAGCCAGTGATTGGCTGTCAGGATGTGTGTAGGCGGGGCAGCGTGACGAACGTGAGAGGAGCTAGGCTCCTCTCACAGTCCGCCCTGAAGACCGGAACGGCGCGGGAACACGGCGAGATGACCGCGCGGAGCAAAGGTAAGTGAATTGACACAGGGGGGACTTGGCTTACTACTTGCTACTTACTTACTACTACTATATGAAGGGATGAATTAATATGGGGGATGAATTACTATAGGGGGGATGAATTACTATGGGGGATGAATTACTATAGGGGGGATGAATTACTATATGGGGGATGAATTACTATGGGGGATGAATTACTATATGGGGGATGAATTACTATATGGGGGATGAATTACTATATGGGGGGATGAATTACTATGGGGGATGAATTACTATAAAAACTTATTGAAACTAAAAACAGTGTACCATCCTATGTATTTTCAGTTTTAAAAATGTGCTCTCAAAATAAATTTCAATCGTGGTTTTGGCGAGATTTGGCTCAGTTGAAAAAAAAAGGTTGCCCACCACTGGTATATACCATACACCAGACTGTATAGACCAATCTATAGGAGGAACATGTATATTATACTGTTATACTGATTTATGCTGTATTATTAACACAGGTTTGTGAGCCTATAAGATTACACTGCTTAGCATGATATCAAAAATCAACAAACACAATGTAAACTGTCAAAAGGAAAGTCAGCACTTCCTATCGGTGCTCTTTTGTCACTTCCAAGCGACAAACTGCCTCTAAAAACATTGTTCATGGCAGAAACAAAACAGGAAAATAAACCAAAAGGAGGTATAACAGCAACAGACATTTTCAAACACAGTTAATTTCCTCTCCTGTACAAGAGAATGGTTGATCTAGTGCCTCCTTTTGCCTAAAATGGCAGCTAACAAGGCATGAGCCTCCAAAAAAAAAAAGCTTACACAAAAGGGTATTGTATCCACATTCTTCTGAATGTCACTAGTTGCTCTTTCACATAATTTAGGTAGAGAGCAAACAAATCCTCCAAAGGCTTCTCCTTCAATAGATATGCCCTAAAGTACCGTATTTTCCGGCGTATAAGACGACTTTTCAACCCATGAAAATCTTCTGAAAAGTCGGGGGTCGTCTTATACGCCGGTATACGGCGAGCCGGTGTCAGGGCGGCACTTTTTCGAGGGGCAGGGGTGTACAGGGGTGGGCAGAGGGGCTGCTGTACCTTACCTGGCTCCGGTCCCACGACGATCCGGTCCAGGAAGTGCGGCTGCTCCTTCTTTCAGTTCGGCCGCTCGATGGTCGCGCAGCCGCTCGGCTCCGCCTCCTCACCGGTGATTGGGCACCAGCACTGGAAAGGAACACAGGCAACCAATCACCGGCGAGGAGGAGGCGGAGCCGAGCGGCCCCGCGAAAATCGAGCGGGCGAACTGAAAGAAGGAGCAGCCGCTCCTCTCCCCCACTGACACTAACGCTGGGGCACTATTCCTCCTCCACACTGACACCAACGATGAGGCACTGTTCCTCCCCCACTGACACCAACGATGAGGCACTGTTCCTCCCCCACTGACACCAATGATGGGGCACTATTCTCCCCACTGACACCAACGATGGGGCACTATTCCTCCTCCCCACTGATACCAATGATGGGACACTATTCCTCCCACTGACACCAATGATGGGTCGCTATTCCTCCCACTGACATCATTGATGGGGCGCAATTCCTGCCACTGATACCAATGATGGGGCGCTATTCCTCCCACTGACACCAATGATGGGGTGCTATTCCTACCACTGACACCAATGATAGAGCACTATTCCTCCCACTGACACTAATGATGGGACACTATTCCTCCCACTGACACCAATGATGGGGCACTATTCCTCCCACTGATACCAATGATGGGGCACTATTCCTCCCACTGATACCAATGATGGGGCACGATTCTTCCCACTGACACCAATGATGGGACACGATTCCTCCCACTGATACCAATGATGGGGCACGATTCTTCCCACTGACACCAATGATGGGGCACTATTCCTCCCACTGACGAATGATGGGGCACGATTCCTCCACACTAATGATGACACCACTGATAATGGGGACACAATTCCTCCCACTGACTAATAATGGGACACTATTCCTCACACACTGACACTAATGATGGGGCACCATCATTGGTGTCAGTGGGAGGAATAGTGTCCCATCATTGGTATCGCTGGGAGGAATAGTGCCCCATCATTGGTGTCAGTGGATAAAATAGTGCCCCATCATTGGTGTCAGTGGGAGGAGTAGTGCCCCATCATTGGTGTCAGTGGATAAAATAGTGCCCCATCATTGGTGTCAGTGGGAGGAATAGCACCCCATCATTGGAATACCATACTGAAATAGCATACCATATTGAAATCAAATCTGATGTTTTTTTTAATTTTTATTTGGTGTGCATTGGAAGAGGGGGGTAGTCTTATACGGCGAGTATAGCTCAAACCCTATATTTTTAACAGGAAAAGTAGGGGGGTCGTCTTATACGCCCAGTCGTCTTATACGCCGGAAAATACGGTACATACCACAGGCTTAGTAAGCAAGAAAGTTTAAAACGCGTTTAATTTATTTCAGGTACTTATATAGAGCCGTCAATTTATGCAGCACTTTACACATATATATTGTACAGTCACATCAGTCCCTAACCCTCAAGGGCGTACAATCTAAGGTCCCTAACTTAGTCTGCTTTAAAGTTTTGGGGGGGAGGATGCCTTAAGGAAAATGTAGAGTTATACATTAAGATTTGTAACTTTATTATTAAAGCTATTGTGGTACCAGTAAAAAATATGCCATAAACATTTGTTTGGAAAAAAGATAAAAAGTACTCTTCATTGTTGTAATAAAAAATGCGGAACCTTGGAACACAGACTGCACATTGGCTTAGCAATTAGCACTCCTGCCTTGCGGCACTGGGATCCTCAATCAGTAAACTATCTGCATAGATTTTATATGTTTTTTTCCTGTGCTTGTGTGGGATTCCTCTGAGGTTTCCTCCCACACTCCAAAAAACTTGCTAGTAGGTTAACTGAATAAAATTTAAACGGACCACGCATCAATATTAAACATATCGTGCATATAATACAAACAATAGCATACAGCATACAGCAAGTTGCCATTAATAACGTCGCCAATGGTGAAAAAAGTGTGCGTGCTTGTGCTCCAACGTAATTAAAGTGCTTAGTTCCTTCAGTCAAATCAAAGTGCTCCACTGTGTTCAACAAGGTGACCCACATGGCCTAGAACTCACCCTTAGCCAAAGACCATCTATTTCTAGAGTGGTCTAGAACGCTTGTGGGGAATTCCCCAATATTATTATTATTATTATTACATCGAGTTTATATAGCGCCAAAGGGTTTGCTCAGCGCTGTACAATAGGGGGGGGGGGGGGACAATACATGGCACAGTACAACAATAACAAACAACGTACTAGGGGTAAGAGGGCCCTACCCAATAGAACAGTTGTCTCCAGATCTCCGCAAGTTTCCAATAGTGTAAAACCGTAAGATATTTTATTGAGGGGTAAAAAGTAAAAGAATATCAAATAACTCACAAATGAAGTGCCCATGCCTGGAACCTGGTGTACTCAGCCTTATTGCTCCTGATATATGGAAGCCACTGTACTAAGCGCTCCTCAGAGTGTGCGCTCCATAGGCCAGATGTGACGTCAGCGGAAGTTGCGTCATCAAACCTCAGTGCGTTTCGATCAAAGATTGTCTTCAGGAAGTGTAAACAAACTCATTCCTATTTATACCTGATGCTTTGCTGTACTTCTAAAGTTATTATTATATACTGCATTATATTTATATATGTTCTGTTATGACAGTGATTGTGGCACCCGTGGTCTTTGCACATCTAATTGATGGCCTCATTCTTTGAGGAGACTCACCTACTGTTATAGTGAAACATCTTCTTTTGATTATTTGTGGTGGTTATGTAAGTTATGTACCCTATATGGTTCGTTTTACTTTACATAATTATAAAGATATTTAATAATAATTGATCATTGACAATAATTGTTAGAGAGTTGTATACTTTCCCTGAGGAAGAATTTGTGTTAATTATTCGAAATGCGTTGGATCCCAGGCTGAATAGATCTTCAATCAAACCTTAAAGTTGCAAGATGGAAATCAGCTTTGGGCGATACCACTGGATACATATTGCAACAACTACAATTTTGCAAAGTGAATAAGTTGTTAAAATTCTATTTTATATTGGTGAATATGCAGTGTTTACCTGAAATGTGAGGATTTGCCAAACAAAAGAAATTTGTTCAAATAAAATGTTGATATTTTAAATAATTTGTTTCTTTGTATATACGCCAAGGTTGCCTTAAAAATCCTATTAAATGTAAGATGTAGTTCTCTCTATTATGAAAATAAGGATGATGGCAACCGCACCCTAAGCTACAATGAATTACTTTTTATTTATAATATAAATAATATTTCAGCTACAGTACTCTGTAGGGGAACTGGACAACCCCCAACAGTGCTGAAATGAGAGTTGATTCCAATACCATATGCAGTCTACTGCAAAGTGCAATTAGGCAGGCCATAAATGGTGTAAAATTTCTTTCCTGCAACCACAGGTCAGGGTTGATGGGGAAATCCCTCCTGCTGAGCCACTGAGTTTTCATGCGGGGGGGGAAGCTGTCCCCATCGGGGACACTAACGATATAGCCACTAGCAATAATCGCATGTAAAATCCGGGCAGGCTGGTTGAGTACATTCAGCCTGCCCATACAAGGTCTGAATGCAGAACCAGCTGAGATTCAAACCATCTATGGCCAGCTTTAGAAAAAAGACTATTTATTTATACTGGGTGTCTAATCTGCAAATACAGCGTTTTGCTATAAACTCTGTACAACGCACAAATAGAGCAGCCAGCTGGATTATGTTAAATGACAGGAATACAAATATGGAGCACTAGATATGTAAAGACGACTCACCCAGGAGCTTGACAAAGTCCTGCATATGTAAGTTTAAGGAGTGAATGGAAGGGCTGCCTGACTCATACTGCTGACTGTTCACTGTCAGGGTGGCCAAACGGCCTCCAACCCGCTCTGCTTCGTAGACATCAATCTGCACCTGAGAGCCGAACTGCTGGTGTAGGAAATGTGTGACTGCAGAGCCTCCAATACCTGCACCGACAATAGCTGGAAAACAGAGATAACATTTAACAGGTTACATTGGCAGGATCCCTTTCAGCAGTTACACCGATCAGCCATAACTTTATGGCCACTCAACGTATATTGAGTAGGTCCCTCTTTTGCGACCCATCAAGGCATGGATGCCACTAAATCTCTGAAGGTATGTTGTTTTATCTGGTGCCAAGCTGTCAGTAGCAGATCCTTTAAGTCCAGTACATCCCGTAAATGCTTAACTGGACTGAGATCTGGAGAATTTGAAGGCCAAGTTAACACCTCGAGCATGCTGTATTCCCCAAACCATTCTTGAATACATTTTTCAATGTGGCAGGATGCATTAACCTGCTAAAAGAGGCCACTGCTATCAGGAAATACTGTTTCCATGATGGGGGGGGCGTTGATCAGCAACAATATTTAGGTAGTCGGGTCAGCATGGGCACCCTGAGCGATCTGCAGCTACGCAGTCCCATATACAACAAACTGTGATGCCCACTTTTTCTGCTTTCACACATGAACTTCAGGGACAACATGTTCACTTGCTGCTTAATATATCATATGTACTGAATACATTGTAACAAGATAATGAATGTTATTCACTTAAGCCGTCAGTGGTCATAAACCCATGGCTGATCGGTGTACATCTCCAGGTAGATATGCATGACACAAGTGAATACAGCTCTGTAATCAATAATATATTTTTGTATTCATTTTATAATTACAGCATTTGAACTGGTATCAGTCTCTTGAAATCCCTGTATAGCACAGCTCAGACTGGATGAGAGCGAGACAACACATGAAGACAGGAAATCAGTTGATGTGCTGACAAGGAGCATGCTTATAGGAGGAGAAAACAGAGTGACAGAGAAATGAGCTAATATGTCTGCTGGTTCTCCTTTCACGGTCTTGTCACAGGCTGGCCCTGCAACTGTTACCTAGCTGCAACAGAAATAAGAAAATCAGGTCTCCTGTCCTATCACACAGGGTTGTACTGTGTAAATTTCAGAACTGGATGGACAGAAACACAAATCTTTTAACAAGAAAAACAGCTCGTTTATGCGCATTTCATCTGTGTATTCAGTTGTTTGCTTGGAGTCCCGTTTTACCATGCTGTACTCCCTTTTGATTTGTTTAAGCCGACCACAAAAAAAAATACCGAACGCAGCAGACTGCTGTCAGCACCAATGATAGCCACCTGTTTAAAAAATATAATGGAAACTTCACAGTGTCCTTTACCACTAGCCTACAGGGCACTTATACCCCCTTCCTGCCCAGGTCAATTTCCAGCTTTCAGTGCTGTTGCACTTTGAATGACAATTGCGCAGAGCATGCACAAAACTGTACCCATATGAAATTTTTATCATTTTTTTGTGACAGATAGAGATTTATTTTGGTGGTATTTAATCATCTGTGGGTTTTTTATTTTTTCTCAAACAAACCAAAAACCACTGAAAATTTTGAAAAAAAAAAAGTTTTTTCTTAGTTTTTGTTAAAAATTTGTGTAAATAAGTGATTTTTCTCCTTCACTGATGTGCGCTGAGGCTGCAGTGATGGGCACTGATGGACACTCATAGGTGGCATTGATGAGGAGCCACTGGTAGGTGGCACTGATGGGCATTGACAGGCATCACTAATGGGCACTGAAAGGCAGCACTCATGTATGGCACTGATAGGCGGCACTGATAGGCAGCACTGATGGACACTGATAGGCGGCACTGATAGACGACACTGACTGGCACTGATAGACGACACTGAAAGGCAGCTCAGATGGGCACTGATATGTGGCACTGATGGGCACTTAAATGTGGCACTGATGGGCACTGAAATGTGGCATTGATGGGCACTGAGAGCTGGCACTGATGGACACTGACAGGTGGCGCTGCTGGGGCTACACAGATCATCAGGGCACACTGATCATCAGTGCTCTGATGATCTGTGTAAATGTCCCCTCCGAGGAATACCGATTACCGGCTCTCCTCTCCTCATGAGCTGTCAGTGTGACAGCTCGTGAGGAGAGAAATGCCAATAACCGACACTTTTCTCTGTTTACATGTGATCAGCTGTGATTGGACACAGCTGATCACATGACCGAGCCGACATCTTCGGCTTTCCGTGGATCGGTGATCCGCTGTGTCTCCCAGAACGTTATTAGCATTTTTTTTTGCTCCTAGATGCTAAAGTGTGTTATCCTATATGCCCAAGCACATTACATTAGCTTATTTAGTCTTCAGTCCAAATCTAGTGATACAAGAAAGTTACTGACCACTGGCAAACATATTAGCCCTGAAGAGTTTGTTTAACCAGAGCAATCAGAAGTCCAATACCAGTAGGCATTAACAAGCAATCAGTAAACACAGGTGTGTGTCTATGCAACCTTTGCATGGAGCCTAGAAGTCTGACAATTAAATGATGCATGATCCACATTTTATGTTTCTAGTTCAGTCTAGGGGTGGGTTATTGCCCAAATATAAGCACAGAAAATCCTGAATACACCACAGCAGACCCCGCTAGGCTGTCACCCCCTTGCTGAAAATAAAAGGAGAGTGTGATTCTTGGTGTCCTGCCTTCTCTGCAGTTATGAAATGGTTACAGAGGATTACAGGCAGTATAACCTTTGATGTCCACACAGTAAAGAGTCGATGATTGATAAACCGATGATCTTTACTGATAACATGTGATCATAATGAGAATGAATGAATGTGCGGATGAATGTGGATAAATGCGGTAAAACTGGAATACAAACAGAATAAACAAACATGAGTACATATCTAACTACCTAGCTATATACATAACATTCCTCAGTATATAGGAGGGGTACTTACAGACTTTGGGGGTCTAATCAAGCCCATATATGAAGAGGGAACAGCATCCCACATGTACTTGCATTGTAGAATTTCTTCAGTGTGAAGAGATGAGGTCACTTCCCTCCCAAGTTAGCAGACAGGACGTCCCTAGCCTTAAAGGGACAGACACTGCTGAATGCTAAAGAATGCCTTTGTGTAATACAAGGCAGCACACACTCCCCCACCTGGCATAATAATGATATGCCACTATTAAACTCTTGGAAGGAGTAAAACGACTTCCGTGATGGGTCTAAGGTACACCTTAGGGGTGCCCCGTTTTACTACTCTGACCTCTACTTTCCTGACTCTGCTATCACTACTAGCATCAGTCCCTACAATGAGTCCAATTGGCCACTCGTTCCTGTGGGCCTGAGAGTCTTTTAGTAGAACAACATCTCCAACTTGTAAGTTGGGCTTGTCAGCTTGCCATTTGTTGCGTGGTTGGAGGGTCATCAGGTACTCCTGTCTCCATCTCTTCCAGAAGATATCACATCTGATAATGGTGACATTGGCTCGCTCAAGAGAGTCATTGTTACCCTGGTCAACACTGGCTGTTTTGCTGAAGGATCTGGCCAAGCAGATGAGTTTCCCTATGGCAAGATGAGTGACTTCCAGCTGGAAAACCTCTCGAACCTACATGAGCCAAGACCTTCTCTGGTGGTTAGAGTCTTGTAAACTGCAACTAGAGGTCTTACCTCTTTGTCTTGGTCTGGTTCTACAAGCTGAAAAGTTCCTTTCTGATCAGTCTCTTCAGTTTTCTGGTCCAGTCAAGAGGATGGACCTGTGAACCAGTTAGTCTGTTTGAGGACAGCAGCTGGTACCAGTCTAGTCCCATGATCAGCAGGGTTCTTGTCTGTACTGATGTGATGCCACTGTTCTGGACTTTGTACACTTTCTGATACGTGTCACTCTGTTTGACACGTATGTGTAGAATCTTCTTGAAGCGTTATGGATATAACCTAAAACAATCTTGCTGTCTGTGTAGAAGTTCACTGCATGGATTTCGATGTCCAGTTCTGCAATGAGTAAGTCTGCTATCTCCACAGCTAGGACAGCAGCACAAAGTTCTAAGCGTGGGACTGTGTGAGCAGGTCTTGGAGCCAGTTTGGACTTTCCCAAGATGAATCCTGCATGGCTTTGTCCTGATGTGTCTATGACTCTAAGGTAGGCTACAGCTGCTATAGCCACGGTGGATGCATCTGAAAACACGTGTATCTCTCTTCGTTTTGTAACAGACAAAGAAACAGAGACGTATGGTCTTTGGATGCTAAATCGCTCAAGCTCCAGCAAAGAGTCTTTCCACAACTTCCACTGCATTTCTTTCTTTTCAGGTAGAGGTGTGTCCCAATCACTTTGTTCTAGCTCAGTTGTAATCTCTCTCAAAAGAGCTTTGCCTTGCATGGTGATGGGTGCTACGAACCCCAAGGGATCGTAAAGACGGTTGACCGTAGACAAGACACCTCGCTTTGTGAAAGGCTTCTCTTCCCTGGATACTCGGAAGGTGAAGCTGTCAGTTTTCAAGTCCCAACTAAGCCCTAAGCTTCTTTGAAGGGGTGGTGAATCTGTACCTAGATCTAGGTCTTTGAGGTCTTTTGCATGGTCTTCTGCTGGGAAAGCTTCCATGACTTTGCTGTTGTTGGAAGCCACTTTGTGCAGTCTTATGTTAGATTCTGCTAGCAAGTCTCTAGTGCTTTTTAAAAAATGTCAATGGCTTCTCCACTACTGGAGAAGGAAGCAAGTCCTTCATCTACATAAAAGTTTTTCATAACAAATTGTTTGGCTTCAGGGTTGTGTCTGTCACCTTGCTGCGCTGCTCGTCTCAAGTTATAGATAGCGACAGCTGCAGGTGAGGGACTGTTCCCAAACACATGTACTTTCATCCTATACTCTATGATACCTTTGTTGAGGTTGTTGTCTTCATACCATAGGAACCTCAGGTAGTCTCTGTGGTCTTCACGGACAAGGAAGCAGTAGAACATCTGCTGTACATCTGCTGTTACTGCAACAAGTTCTCTTCGGAATCTGATAAGGACTCCAAGAAGTGTGTTGTTCAGGTCTGGTCCGCTGAGAAGAAGTACATCATTAAGGGAAATACCTTCATGCTTTGCACTGGAATCAAATACTACACGTATCTGACTGGTTTTTGAGGATGGTACACTCCGAATATTG